GAATAACGTTTATTATAACGTCTCACCAGAGTTTATTTCGTCATGTAAGTAGAGAGTGATGGCGCTCAAACCTGACGTTGTTATGGGCATTGCCGTAACCAGCTATTGGGACAGTTGGGACAGTCCCACACAATTTTTCTAATGGGTTCAAACAAAGAATGGGTCCACATTTTTTAAAATGGGTCCAAATTATGTAATTTTATGCATAAAAATTTGAAAAATGGGTCCAGATTTCTCATATTTAGCTTAAAATGGGTAAAATTTAAGAAAATGGGTTCAGACTTTTTCATATTTTTCGTAAAATGGGTCCACTTTGTTTGAATTTACGCATAAAGTGTAGGTCCACCCTGATAATGTCGAGTACTGTTTGAAAATCCTGGTTTGGCATTGGTTGTGGGTTCGAATCCATTGCTGGGGATTTCAAATCTGTCCTCGTCAAAGACAGTTTACATGTGTTTCTCAATCATTGTCCTTACATTTGTAAATCCCAGTCCCAGCCAAGGTGGGTGTAGATAGACTACGCATGTAGGTTTTATCAATCACTCGTTTGAAGCTAATACTACTATAGGACAATAATTAATCAAGATTACAATAATATTCTTCAGAGGGTGCTGTAATATGATATCTGCTTGTTTGAGCACGTTATTATTTTTTCTTCGAATTATCAAATGGGATATAACTGCTTTAACATAAAGGTATAAAATTATCGAATAGCCTAGACATACGAGTTTACAATAAGTAGGCTATAAACCCTACGGGACATGACATCGGCACACTGATAAGGTGCATCACGTAACAGTTTTTTTGTGTAGGTCTAGTGTGTAATGTTTTTATTTTGCTTCTTTATTTGGTTATACTTGTTGGCGTTGATATTTATGATATAAGATAGTAAGATCTAAAGGAATTGTCAGATGTAATAATAATAATAATAATAATAATAATAATAATAATAATAATAATAATAATAATAATATAATATAATTGATATTATTTTGTAGTACCACTAATAATACAATTTTTCTGAATAAACTCTATTTTAAGCAGCTATTTTGAGGTCCCTGTGTGCATGAACAAGCGCTTTTTAACGACTAGGAAAAGGCGCTATATAAAGACCATTATTATTATATTATAATACTATAATGATGATGATGATACAACGATGATGATTATGAAGATGATGATGGTACAACGTCTATATTAAAGCCGTTAAGTTATTATTATTATTTTTTTTGTAGGAACAATCTTATCTTGGAAGGCAACAACCCAAACCTTGTATCTATTGGGATGTACGCTTAGCCCCTTTTATTTCGTTACTTTCGATTCTGCATTTGTGTTGGTGGATCTGTCTCTTATACACATCTTATATATATATATATCAGTTTTAAGAGGGTATAGGGGCATGGCGAGAGGGGAGCGCACATGCTTTGTTCAATCACGGATACTATTGAGCTACAGAGAGAACACTTTTTTTTATGGAAGCCAGTTTAGCAGTACCGTTTTTTAACAAAATATTTGACAACAAAATGTATTTCATTTATATTGCAGGAACATTTTGTTTGAATGAACACAGCGAAGATATTATCACAAACCCAACGGCAGTGTACTGTACCAAAAACCCATGCATGAATGGAACATGTTTTGTTGTATCTTGTAAGTCATTATTATTTTATAATACTACTACTAATAATAATAAATATTTCTATTTTTTCTATATTTATTATTATTATTATTATTATTATTATCATCATCGTCATTATCATCATCATTATTATTATTATTATTATTATTATTATTATTATTATTATCATCATTATTATTATTAATATTATTATTATTATCATTATTATTAATATTATTATTATCAATATTATTACTATTATTATGATTATTATTATCATTATTTATTATTATTATTCTAAACCCAATTTAAATTTGTAGGCTCACTTGAAAATAGGAACGGTTGTCTTTGAAATTTACTATGGCAAATATACGAACCCGAAGATAGATTTAATATAAACATTGCCTATTGTAATAGTGGAATTCAATGCCAGGTCATACATGTAAAAAATATGTCGTGAAATTTGATATCAATGAGCCACTAAAATCCATTGTAAATATCTGTTTTGAATTCATCAATTATGTTTTAAAGTTTGTTTTCAATATTACGTCTGTTTCATCACACTGAAAATTTAAACAAAAGAAATTAAACGGTCTCAATTAAGATCCGTGGGCGATCAACAAGGTTATGAATATTTAATAGTTTAAGCTCAGTTTTCATAGAATCGTTCACTCCATCGGCGACAGTCGTCGGGAAGGTTGAACTTGGTTAAAGTTTACCGATTGCGTTGCAGACGAATCGGGGTGCCTTCCCGATTGCGTCAGGGCAGCTAGCAATGCATTCTGATTCGCCCGACAACTATAGGCGACTGTCACCGATAGGGTGAGCGATTCTATGGAAACCGAGCTTCACCAAGCACTTAGTTGCATCTTATTAGTCAACGATCGAAATTCAAATGAAGATTAGCAGGTTGATAATGTCCTTTTTCCACAGATTTATATATATTTGAGTTATTTATTGCACATTCAAAAAACATACAATAGCAGTCAAAAAAATTACTGAAAACGTTATATTTAGGCTACATACAATTGCATAAATTGTTAAATAATTTTAAAAATCGCATGTTACAAAATAAATAAAAACAAGCGCACACACACAAAATATAGTCATGATCAAAAATTATTAAAAATATTTTCTTATCACAGTATTCAATATTTGATTAAAAAATTTAAATGAAATTGAAAATTGCACAAAGTGCAAAACATTTAAACATCAAAAGGTATGAGGAAAAGACAATAGTTAGAAAAGGTTGCTGTGATTGATAGATTAAGATCAAATCTACCAGCTTAAAGGCCTGTTTACACTTCAACGATAACGATAACGATAAAAATGCTAAAAAGCGATTGTTCATATAGAAAACAAAAGAAATAAGAGAAGTTTTTACACTAGGACGATTCTATAACTATTTATCGTGTATGCAATAACAAAATATTTTAACAAATCAAATCAGATGACGTCATAATTATGGACAAACGATAAAATCGTTGCTACTACGACGATTTTAACGTTTTCCCATTTCTTTTATTTTCTATTTGAAAAATTGCTTTTTAGCTTTTTTATCGTTATCGTTATCATTGAAATATAAAGAGGCCTTAATACTGTATGTTAATTTATTTTTGTTATTTATATATAAAACCAAGGTCTTAACTCTGTTACGTGAAATTTTATGTTTCTTGTAACTTTCGATTGTCTTGTGGCAATGGAAAACAAATTTCTAAAGCAATTTTGGACCAATAAAAATTTTGTTATCTTAACATTGTATAATCTTTTATTTTCTTTATTTAAATTTTTACCTTGTATGTATCTATATTGTGCATGTTTTTAAGTCATGTTTGTGTATCTGCCATATATAAAACCATGGTTTTAACTACTATACGTAATATTTTATTTTTCGATTGCCTTGTGCGAATGGAAAACAATTTTTTCAAAGCAAGTTTGGACCAATAAAAATTATGTTATCTTATTTTTTTTATTATCTTATTAAGAGTTCCAAGTTACAGTTAAATTGTTCAGTTGTGACAGTCTAATAAAGTTCATTAAGGATATTGATTATGGACGGGATTGCCCAGTTCTTGTATCTTTTGGTTTTGGGAATTTGTCCTTTGAGCTTTCTTGCATTTCTAAGAGAACAGTTTGAGGCAATTTGCCTGCGAGGTACCATAGGGAAGTAACGTTCAGAATTGTACAACCATTTTTGAAAAAGTTGTTAAGAGGTTTGTCCTCCTTTAAATTCCGCTAAAGATGCGGCACACCGTCACTCCATCGTTATTGGTAACGCAAATGAAAATGTGTGTAAAGATTCTTGAGTGTATTTTAAGAGAACGATATTAGCCTTTTGATTAGTCCCGCCCCATTTTTAATACACTCTCTTCCACGATTTCTTTTTTGAGAGCAACTAATCTATTTCAACGTTTTAATGGAAATAGAAACAGTTTCCAAAAGGATGATTCGTGAATGAAGTTAGGTGGATGGCAACTGAGGAGGATTGAGTGGATTATAAGGCCATCATATCAACACAATTGAATACCAGGGTTGCGGTTGGCGCAGCTTTTTAAGCTGGTACTCTCACCCTCATGGTCAGGGGTTCGAGCCCTCACTGTTTAAGTCGCTTGTGTCCTTGACCAGGACACTTTGTCTACGTTTTTCTCTCTCTACCCATGGGTATAAATAGGTACCGGCATGTCGGGAAGGTATACAGACTCGCTGTGAGGAGCAGTGGTGATCCCTTGACAGCATTGCTGAACGCCAACGCCCATGTTATTTCACACTGATTCGATTTTCTGAACGGTTCGGTAGGCTTTCCGATCCGAATATTCGTTTTTTCGGTGTGAATGAGGCTTTATGCATTTTTATTCTGTTCACAGTACCTGGAACCAATGAAAACTCCGAGGTAGAATGTGCTGGGAAATCGTGTTTCAAATATGTGTTTGAGAATTTTACCAGGGACAAAGCTTCTATAAAGTGCAAATCGATGGGTGGTGAATTGGCAAGCTTCGAAACTTCTGATAAACTTGAATTTCTAAAGAAGTCAACACGCAATGGTGAACTATGGCATCGTAAGTAGTATTCTGTTTTTTTTTCTCTTTAGCACAACCGTGAACGCCTACGACGTCATCGTATTTTATACCCGCTTTAGCGTAGGTTTAATGAAAATGGCATTGATATTCTACGAAATGCCCATTCACTTATTTTTATTGAAATAAAGTTAACTATATTAAATTTGAAGTAGTAAAAGCTTCGAATTATATATAATTTCAAAAATCAATTAAATACACTTGTTAATCAACAATTCATTTACTTATCATTAATATTTTTTCATTATTAGTGATTATTCGTATAATTTGTATTGATTTCCTTTAATTAACTTTTTTCCTGGGTTTTAAATGATTGGTTATGGGATTGTTTCATCATAATCTACTAATATACTCGTTCACTATTAGTTCATTCTGGTTTATTCAAAACAAGATGTCGTGTTATGATGTAATTACCTGATTCAGTGTACACAATGTATGTAGCCTATGTAGCTTGGTAACAATGAAGAGATAGAGTACCGTAAATTAACTTGCACATGGTGTATAATTATGATACAATATGAAAAAATATATTAATAGGCCTATATCGATTAACTGATTTATTGGTTGATCAGTCAATGAACTTATTTATTGATTAATTGACTGTCTGACTGACTGGCTGATTGACTTATACATTTTTGATTGATAACCGTATACTCTACCTCTTCATGCCCTATAGGCCAGATAGGAGGAAATACACAATCTAAAAATATTGTGCTTTGTAACGTATACATAGGCCCTACACAATAGTAGTAAAATTCCCGAGTCTTTAGAAGTAGGATAGAGGAAGCGAAAAATACACCTTGCAGGGGTGGATTTAGGGGAGGGGGATGACCGGCCCACCCCTTCCCTCCTTTTGGAAGGGAAAAAAACAAAAATAAAAGAAAAAATGAAAAAGAAAAAAGTGATCGCTAATAACGCATCAGAGGTTATTTCCGGGTGTCTAGAACACACAAATTTCGCAGGGGCATGCCCCCGGACCCCCTAGTGCAGAGTTTTCTCGATCGGCCCCATTTTGGCCCCCCCTTTTGGACATCTCTGGATCCGCCCCTGTATAGAGTACATAGAGAGGCTAGATTAGGATTTTTTTAAAATATTGCAATACAATCATGATAATATTATCTGAAGGAGAACTTTCGATTGAATAGATAATGTGAAACAGAGAAGCTGAAAAATAAACTTTATTTTTGGTAGTGTATAAGCCATTATTATTATTCATTATTATCAGTATATTTTGGGTTCATTTATTTATGTATTCATTACCAATATTCTCATAACTTTATTATGGTAACCCCAGGCATGTGGAAATAATAGTCTACAGTAAGACATGACAAAGGTACATAGAAAATTGAGACTAAATGAAGCCGTACTTTATTGATGATGTTACCAATATAACCATTATGTTTGAACATGCATCTGTGTATTAAAAATTAATTTGGATATGCCATTGTAAATCTATAATTATATTCATGAAGCAATTTCGACTAATGTCTGTGATTTAATAGGCTGTAGAATACACGAAAATGGTTCATGCTTTTGCCATTAATTGAAAATGAAATCGGTATAATATTTAAACGCAATATCATCAATGAATCAAGGAATATCTATTGTCGACAATACATCATAATTCAGTCAAAATTTGGGGCGCTTAAACAGTGGGTTAAATATATAAAAATAAAAATTTAAAATATATTCAGTATTATATTAAGACATTAACTATATAAAACAACAAAAAAAAGAGTAATGTATAAAACAAATTAGGAATACCTGTAAAAAGTCGATTATTGCGAGAATCAAACATGACATTTAATAATAATAATAATAATAATAATAATGATAATAAGGATAATAATTCTGATAATCATTTTGCTTATTGTCATACCTTCCACTATCACCATCATCTTCCTCATCATTATCTCTATTATTATCATTCTGCTTGCATGATAACATTATCATGTAAAAATGTAAATACAAATGTATTCGAAGTCGGTCATAGTTGAACAAAGACTTTTAAGGCTCGGTATCCGACTCGCCCACCATAGTTGTTACATTTTTTAATACGGTACATAACCTATTTTCTAGAAATATAATAAAAGTAGACCTAATTAGTTGGCCTATATAACTTGGTCAACTAACAGTAAAATACTTTTTTAGCTTAAAAATTGGGTTCATTTTATTTAACCGTGTGTTCTGATTCCCTCTTAATAGAGAATTTTTCGGCCGAATTCTGGACTAGTGGTAAACGAAGTTCTAATGAGGTATGGAGTTGGGGCTCAAAACCCATTAATTCGACATTAACGTTGAATATAAGACAATCGGGAGAAGAGCCTCGTGAAGCTTGTCTCCAGGTGGCTGCTGATCTTGAAACGAGTGAGGGTCTGAAATGGATTCCGGAAAACTGTGCACTAGAATCCTACTACATTTGTGAAATAGACAGGAGTATAATACTTCAAGGTATGTTAATACTCAATATATAGGCCTACATATATGAAAATTCTAAAGCCTCTTGCGGTAAGCGGCTTTACGCATACATTTTAAACGTTAAAGAAGAGGAATCTGTGAGTGCAAAAAAGAAAATTGTCCCAACCGGGGTTCGGACCCAGGAACACAAATAATATATAAATCAAAAGGAAAATAATACAATGCTCAAATACATAGGAACATGCTGTTATAAATCGCATCAAGCATATTTGGCTATTATTATTATTATTATTATTATTATTATTATTATTATTATTATTATTATTATTATTATTATTATTATTATTATTATTATTATTATTATTA